GGCGGCGGGGCGAGCGCTCCAGGGTCGGCGGCCGTCTTCCACTGCAGGCGAGCGCTGCGAAGAGGAAGGGAGGAGGTGGAGGGGGAGCGGGGGAAGAGGAGGAGGAGGAGGAGGAGGAGGAGGAGGAGGAGGAGGCGAAAAGGAGGAGGAGAGGAAGAGGATGAGGAGGGGGAGGGGGAGGAGGAGGAGGAGGACGACGACGACGACGAGGATGGGCTGATGACGATGAGGGGGAGGGGAATTAAGAGGAGGGGGAGCAAAGGAGGAGGGGAGGAGGAGGAGGAGGAGGAGGAGGGGGGGGAGGAGGAGGGGGGGAGGAGCGGAAGGAGGAGGCGGAGGGAAGAGGAGGAGGAGGAGGAGGAGGAAGAGGATGAGGAAGATGAGGAGGAGGAGCGAGAGAGGAGCGAGAGAGGACGAGAAGGAAGATGAGGAGGAGGGTGGGGGAGGTGAAGGGGGGCGAGGTTGAGGAGAGAGAGAGAGAGAGAGGGCAGGCAGAGTCAGGCCCTGGCCCTCAGTTGGTGATGTCCGCCGTCTCCTGCCCCACCGGGTCCAAGGGCGTTTCCTCGGAGGTCGTTGTTTATCCTTTCTCCCTCCTCCTCCTCCGCTTCCTCCTCCTCCCCCTCCTCCTCCTCCTCCTCCTTCTCCTCCTTCCTCTTCTCGTCGTCGTCGTCGTCGTCCTCCTCCTCCTCCTCCTCCTCCTCCTCCACCTCCTCCTCCTCCTCCTCCCTCCCCCTGCCCCTCCTCACCCCCCTCCTCCTCCACTCTCCCTCCCAATTCTCTTGTCTTCATCGTGCTGCCCTTCTTCGTGCTGCCCTTCTCCCCGCGCTCTCGTTCTCGTGAGCCTCCTCGACCTCGTCATCCTCCTTGTCCTCCTCCTCCTCCCTCTCGGTTTGTTCCCAGATCCCCCTCCACCTCGAGAGTGGTTCCGCCTTTGCCCTGCGTATTGTTTTATCGTTCCTGATTCTGGGGGATCGCATGTATAGATCAGTCCCAGGGTCTTCTGAGTCCAAAGTGAACGTGTCAGGCATGCACGGGGGGAAACTCACGTCCGTCAGCACGCGCGGGGCAAAGGCTGGGGGGTCACGATCGAGCTGCGTTCTGCAGTAATCCAATGTCCCCCAGATGGAACACCTCCCTCCTCACAATCATATGGCTGGTCATCCACTGCTGGATCTCCAGGGAGTTGCAGCGAGCCTTGAGATCCCTGATGTCTGCGCTCACATCCGAGAGCTCTGAGATGGTTCTCTTCAGCATCTCGGTTGCCTATCGTCGTGATCGTCATCCTCTTCCTCCCTCCTCGTCCTCCTCCTCGTCCTCATCCTCGTCGTCCTCCTCCTCCTCCTCTGCGTCCTCCTCCACTCCTCCTCCTCCGCCGCCTCCTCATACTCATCCCTCCCCCCCTTTTCCCCCGTACTTCGACACTCTTCCTCCGAGCCTGCTTCATCTGAATCTCGGCCTTGCAGAAGTTGTCGAGAATCGCCAGCACGCTGCTGTGCATAAGCCAAGCCGGAATGCCCTGAGGAGCGTTGCCCTTGCCTTTATCCTTGCCCGAGCCCTTGGGGTCCACGCCCTTGTCCTTGCCCGAGCCCTTCGGGTCCACGCCCTGGTCCTTGCCCGAGCCCTTCGGGTCCACGCCCTGGTCCACGCCCCAGTTCCTGCCAGAGCCCCTGGGGTCCGAGCCGTTGTCGGTGTTCTCCTTGATCGCACTCGCAGCTTCCTCAGACCGTCTGTCGCGGGGAGACCTGGAACGATCCTGGCTCGCGCCCTCGGCCTCCATCGAAGCTACCCTGACCATGGCCAATCGTGGTCGTCGGGTTCCGTGGCCGAGATGGGCTCGAGCCAGGGTTGCTATCCCCTGCGCCCGTCGGCCCCATCGATTTTTCTGACCTCTGCCCTGGGCCCCCAAGGCCGCCAGGCCGTCTCCCCCCTCTCTTTGGGGCCAAGAACCACGTGAGGGGTGTGCCGAAAGACCTCCCATTCCCCGCGGTCGTGCCTCTTCTTTCTCCTTCAGCCTCTTTCCCCTGCTATTTCCTCGCCCCCCCCCCCCCTCCCCCCGCCAAGGCCCCCCTCGATTTCCTGAAACGCTCCTCTGAGAGCGCAGTGGGAACGCTGGGGCCTGAACATCCGAGGGCCGTGACCCCACCCCCACGGGCGCCGCGCTTTGGGCCCCAGCGCTGCCAGATCAAGCCTGGAATCCCGCGCGGGCATTCGCGGGGGGTCGGGCCCAGCCAAATCCAACGCAAAATCCAATGCATTGGAAAATGCGTTGGAGTTTGAAGGTTGCGCTGGTTTCGCTGGGCCCGACTCCTCGCAAGACGCGCGTGGGGTTCCAAGTTTTTTTTGTTTTGCCGACACGGCGGAGACGCGGCACTCCCCGCGGCCAACATCCACGTGTCAAATGCCGCCGAGCCCACGGCGTCCGGTGGGAACACGCGGGAAGTGGCATGTATGCATGCATGCAAGAGCGCAGAGCTTTGATTGTGCATCGCATGACTCATGTTTGATGTCTCTCTCACTGTCACGTCTACCCGTTCCCTGAGCCATAACCGACGCCACAAACGCGCCCCTGAAAACAGCGCGCATGTGCTTCGAACTGGCGCATCGGCATAAATTTCTTGTGTTGCAAAAGTGTATCCCCGTGCTTTCTTTTTTAATCGCTGCGTCGCCAATGGGCATGGGTGCGCTGTCATGTGCTAGCGGGCGCGAAGGGGAAAAGCGCGACAGTCGCAGTTGCGCGCGCGTGGCCTCCGTCGTTGAAGGCCACGGCGTTGTGGGGCCAAGGGCCGATTCACTTGCCCGCGGCCCAAGGGGCATATCTGCTCCCGAAGGGCCGCCTCGGGGCTTTCTCAGGGCAGTATCGGGAACATCCTTGGATTATCCTGGGGCATCCAGGGGCCGCTATGACGCCTCATCGGGAGATCCCGGGGGCAAGGCGAGGGCCGACAACATGTATTATCGCTTTTCTTGCGACGCGGTGGTTGTTTGCATTCGTAGGCCATCTTGTGTTTTTTTGGGCGATTCCCCTGGGCCCTCTCGGTTCGTTTTGGGGGGCGCCTTCAAGCCGTCTTCGGCCGCCTGGGACTCGGGGGCAGTAACTTACGCCCTTCTGAGGCTCTCTTGGGTGCCTTTGGGGGCTTGTGGGCCGCCCAATGGCCTTGGTGGGGGAGTCATTTGACAATGTAGAGCAGCCAGGTTGCTTGAGAGCGCCGACCCCCGTGTGTTTTTGTACTGCAACGTGGGCCCCCGGAAACAACTTTTAAAAAGGGCTGGGTTGGACATGCGCGAGATGCAGACTGTGAGCGGGACAGGGCACATAATTCAATGCGCACACTTCTCACACGGATCTGTAGAGGCAGTTTGCAGCCAGGTGCCCCCAGAGGGGTCAGTGGACTGTTGGGATTGCTTAATAATTGAAGGTCTTTTGTGGGCCGCTTCGGTAGCGCTCCCGGCGCGCCTTGGACGCGCGAGCAAGATTGCGTTCGATATTGAATCGCAGGCGCACCCTCGACTTCTCAGAGCGAGATGGGGGACAAATGAAGAGGAGTGTACGGTATGGGAGGGAGGGGAGAGCAGGATGACGAGTAAGGTGAGGGGTGGGCGGAGGAGGAAGAGGGCGAGGCGGACGAGGGGAAGCGATGGGTCATGGTGAGGAAGAGGGGGCGCGTTGGTGGTCAGGGAGAGGAGGAAGACAGCCATGGTGACAATGAAACACCAGTGGGAGGAACGCCAGCAGCACCAGGATCGTGATCCGCAGGAGGTGGGAGAGGATGGGGCGAGAAGCATGGAGGACAAGTTTGTGGAGGCGGATGATCAGGATCAGGGGCCAAAGAGCAGAGTGCATGGGAACGGAGCACTGCAGAAACGTATGTCTGTGTTTGTAAGTGTTTCTTTATTTTGGTGGGAGTTTCAGTGTCGCTGTTCGCGTCGATCGCTCGTCGAGCCCGCGTGGCAGATTTCCTCGAAGAAACCTTTGGTCAACGGCGATAGGACGGGTGGGCGCGCCGAATAGCCGTGGGCGCCCGCGGCATTTGTTTCATATCCCCCAAAGTTCTCGTCCCACATCTTCCGCCCATCACAGCCTCCGCCTCGTACCCAGCTGCCTGTGGCAAATGCGCCACCGTGCCAGCGAAGCATTCAATTTGGCGACCCTTCGAGCCCCATTGGGAAGGCCGTTACATGCGACACCTCCCGTCTTCACTTCTTGGGGGGTGTTTGCGAAAGTCTAATTTGGGCATTCTTGGGGCTCTCTTGGGCTCCAGTGGGCAAGTCTTGCAGGCCCCCTTAAAGCTCTCCTAAACTTTCTTGGGGCTCACTTGGGCCGTGCAAGGGCCCTCTGGGGCCGTTTTCGGGCCACCATGGGTGTTCGAGTAGCTTCTTGAGGCCGTCGTGGGGGCGTCCTCGGGTCGCTTTGGGCTGTGTCTATGGGCCCCGTTAGGCCGTATTGGGTTTCCCTGCAGGCCTTCTTCGGGCAGTTGTTTTTTTAGGGGACGTCCTGGGCCGTCGAAGGATTGTTTAGGGGTGTCAGTGGGCCTTGTCGGGCCTTCGAACACCGCGAGTGGAGCGACCTTACGCGAGCACGGTCGAACGCAGCAAGTTTCCCTCCTAAGCAGCGGCGGGCAATACAGGCAATAGCCCTGGACCGACGCCACGGAACTATCCTGTGCAACTGTCCGGCGCGCGCTGCTGCGGCCAGTTCCGATGTTATCATGCGTAGTCGTCTGGTCGAGCGTGTTGCGGAGAGTTCCGATGATATCTTGCATTATCGCCTGGCGGGCCCAATTGTGGGCATTTCCGGTATTTTCATTCATATATGACTGGCGTACCGTTGTTGCGAAGACTTCCCATGGCCTCCAAGAGTTTTACCCGCTCACACAATAGCTTGCGCCGTGCACTGGTACGTGGTGCCTTGAATCATCTACCAGACAGCACCAGGCATTCAGCACTCTGCAACGTGCCAGGGGCGCGGTGCTTCATTCCTCGTCCGTCCCCCTTCTATCCGTAGCCGTGTTGGCTCAAACTTTTAATGGACGTGTTCCAGCACATTTTGCAGTACAGCAAACCCAGTTACGTTTTAGAGGGCAGAGACATCCACCGAGTCCAACAAATATGTGAGGTATCCAAAGCTTTCCTGCGAGTTTCGTTCACCAAGTTTGTACAAGAGCGCCAGGCCGAGCCATTGCTTGAGTGTTTCATCTCAGATGGGACGCCGTTGACGACTGTAGAGCTCCATTGCGAATCGTTTGGAAGGTGGAAAGTTCGGAGATTTGCTCGCGACACGCGCGAGTTTTTGACGCAGAGGGTGTTCATCATGGATACCAACTACAATGCTCGCGTTTTGTTCGAAGACCCTCAGGTCATGGGAGATAAGACAGTTCTCACGCATCACAACGCTCAGAACTTGCTCTGGGGCGGCGCGCGGATGCACGGACACACGGGGCCACTAGTGACGTGGGGCGTCTGGGACAGAGCTATATCATCAGGAATGGGACGCCGCATGCGCCAGCGCGCCAAGGCGTATTACCTCCATATGCAAAACACCATTGGCAAGGATGCAGCATACATGCTCTGGTTGTGGACTTGGGTTGTCTGCACGCATTGTAAATGTCACGACCTGCACAACGCCTTGAAATGGGCAATCGTGCAACAGTTGTTGAATAGGGCCGCCCTGAGGTCCTGTTGGATCGCCCTGGAAAGTGTTCGGAACGGATACAGCGTCCTGACGCGAGCCCTTCCATTCTGGCTGCCCCTCCGCGTCACGCACGAGGACAGGCCCACTGCTGTATTGAAAGAACTGTGGACCCTTTTGGGTGTTCCAGACGATTGGATGCCATTATTCTTGTCTCTACAGATTGTGTTCCTAGATGGGAAGCTGCGCGTGTGCAGCTCTTTGGAGAGCGAGGACGCCGCGCAGCGGATCACTGTTGTTCTGTTGCACGCTTGGAAATTCACCCGCTGGAGCGACAGTAGATGGTGCGGCCTCGGAAAGTGCACTCGCTGCATGTTGCTTGTTGTTTGCCTTGGTTTGTCGGACTTGGTGCAATGGATTCGCGATTCGAAACAGTTTTCGACGTATTACATCAATGGTTGGAAGCACATGACACCAGAAGTGATTCGAATGGCCTGCGTCACTTCGTGCACGAGTGGTTTGTCCGAGGAACCGCTCGCGACCTTGCTTGAAGATGACAGGCTTGCTCAAAAACTTCCCGAGATCAAAACGAAGCTGGAGGAGCAGCGAAGTTGCGCTCTTTCTTTATCGGACGAAGTGCTTTCGCTCTTGGGGAGCATTGCCGGCTTGAGCCTCCGTGAGATGCGGAATGAAATATTCTTGAGTGTTTTGGTCCAGTACGGATATATCAAGAACAAGTTGCGAGACGTGGAGCAATTGCCGTTCGCGCTCGTACAGGGCGATATCCGCGCAAATTTGGAGCAGCTCAGAAAGTCCCCTCCTGTGTCCGAACCGACGGCCCGAAAGATCCAGTTACTGACACAAATACCTGTTCCAATGGAAGAATTGGAGGCTGCTGTGCGGTTGTTGGGGGAGGGCCCTCATACGTCGACTTCGTCGGAGCATGGGCATGTGAAGGCTTCTAGGTTGCTGCGGTCGCATAGGCGGTACTGCCGGTCGACCATGCGGGCTCGGTGCATGGTTTCGACGTTCCAAACCCTCGTGGGGGAGTCAAAGATGGAGCAGGCACTGTGCCGCTTGAACTTCCGTCTCGAATGTTGGAGGAAGAAGCAGCCGAACAGGATCACGCCTCGGCAAGCGTACATCAGCTGCGTGATGCGACAGGCCCGGCAGGAGCGCCGCTTGCGCATCACAGTGCGGAAAGATTTCACGAAAGATGTGATACGGAACCACGGTCGCGCATGGAAGGCGCTGAGCATGCGGCAGAAGCTTTCGTTTGTTGGCGAAGCGCGTGTGCTTCGCGACGAGCGGCAGGAACACATCCAAAATACAATCTCTCTCATTCTCGGGAAGCGCCGGCAGCTGATGGAGAAGATGGAAAAGGACCGCGCGCCTGGGGCGCACGGGTTGCGCATGCGGAGCTGCGCGCTCACGCAGGCCATGAAAGCGGAGTTTGAGGCCCTCTATGCTGCCGACAGCTGGACTCAGTCGAGCGTGGACGCGGCTCGCGAGGCGTGCAGTGAGCCGGTTGGCCCGCCGAGCCCTGCTGATGTACGCACTTTGGACCTCATGGAGTTGGAGAGCGAGGGCGGCGTGGGCAGAGGTCAGCCCCCGTGGCTCGGGTGGGTGTGTCACCACAGGGACTTCTTCAGAACGTGTTGCTTCAGATGGGTTGCAGACGGGTCCACGTCAGTGTGGAAATTTTCTTACGCTACGCAGAGCCCGTTGCAGGTCTGCGCCGTCAAGTGCGCAGAGCTGGCCTGCCCAGAACCCACCTTGCTGCCGAGTGACCAGGGCGCCGCTGAGTTGGATGTGTGGGAGCACAACTTCACAGTCGATTGGTCCACGTGGGGCTACTCGGACGAGGGCCTGTTTCCGATTGCGGGCAAAGTTGAGGTTTTGGGGGACGTCATCGCTGGTCGTGATTCGCACCTCGGCTCCGACGCGGCCTGGGTCGACCTCGAGGAGCTGCGTGCCGCTATGCCCGAGGGCCCCAAGGCAAACGCCCGAAAGCAGGCCCCTGACGTGGAAGCAGAGCCAGCCGCCGACGAGCCTGAGCTCTGGGCCGAGCACCCGTATTTCTGGGAAGACGTGGCGCACGAAGAGCCTGGCGGTGAGGATGGTGAAAGTTGTGCAGGCTCCGATATGTCGGACAATAGCTGCTCCGACGATGGCGAGGACGTTGACTCTGCCATGGAGGCCCTGTGGGAGCGTCGTCGCGACTTGGCCGTGTTCGTCGACATGCCGATTGACGACAAATTCCGGTGGGCGCTCCGGGGCGGCAAATGGACGTATTTGCATAAAGGTGTTGCTTACGATTCTTACCGAGCCTGCGCCGTCAAGGGCGTGCCGTGCCAGTGGTGCTGCCTATATGGCGTCGCCAGGTCCCGCAGCTATAGCATCGCCGCGTACGCGGAGGAGAATTGCATTACCCTGGTTCATGCTTGGTGCCACCGCCTCGCGTTTCTCTTCGACTTGTGGGTGCTCAGAGGCGGGCCCTGCGAGTACTGCTATACGCCCGAGGACATCGATAAGTACAGGGAGCCCGATGCATTCCAGGCCCTGGCGGCTCAGGCAGCTGGCGAGTTAGCGAAATGCGTTTTGCAATTGCGGTCCATCAGGCCCAAGAAACCGAAGGGCGCCCACGCCTGTGCGTAACAAGGTCAAAAAGCATCATCACCATCGTAACCGCCACCCCCCCCCGCCACAAATTGATCCACATATTTTCTGTTTAGAATCAACACATTCAGTTTAAGGATCTGTTTAAGGATCAAGTTTTGGAGGCGACGCGCGTGCGAGTGCAAGCGCAATTTGTGGCTGTGGTTTCCGCGGGCTGTTCCGGGGGGATGAAAATGGCCCGGCGCAGTTTGTGGATCACTTGTGGCGCGTTTGTGGATCCACGTGCTGGGCGCCCCCAGGCGCCCCCCCCGGGCCGCGACGTTGGCGGCGTTAAGAGAAAGAGGGGGGCATAGCATCAAGAGGCGAGAGCCCTTTTGGGGGCTCCCAATAAGGCCCCAAGAGCGCCCCAAAAACCTCCGCCAGCGAGATGCGGCCGCATCTCGCTCCCAAGTAGCCTCGGAGGTCCTCTTGGGGGCCCTCTTGGGGCCCCAACGGTCATTATCGATGTGCCGATCGAACGTCGGCGTGCCGTCTGGCTGTAAGTACGGCTTCGCCACCGCCCCCTCGAGGGGAACGGTCGATGCCCCCCTCCTTCCCGTCCGCGGGGGGCGCCCTCCAAGACGCCCTCTAGTGGAACCTAGGCCACCTAACTTCTCGCAGCGCCCTTGGAGCCCTCATGGGCCCCCCCCGGGGACCTCTTGGGACCCTCTTGGGGCCCCAAGAGGGCTCCAAGAGGGCTCCAAGAGGGCCCCAAGAGGGCCCCAATAGAGGCCCAACAGGGCCCCAAGAGGGCCCCAAGACGGCCGAAAAAGATATTCAGATGGCCATGATCATCTGAATATCTTTTGGGGCCCTCTTGGAGCCCTCTTGGCCCCGTCTTGGAGCCCTCTTGGGCCCCCCCTGGGGCCCTCTTCGGACCCGCTTGGAGCCCCAAGAGGGGGCAAGAGAGCCCCAAGACGGCCCCAAGACGGCTCCAAGAGGGCCCCAAAAGATATTCAGATGATCATGGCCATCTGAATATTTTTTTCGGCCGTCTTGGGGCCCTCTTGGGGCCCTGTTGGGCCTCTATTGGGGCCCTCTTGGAGCCCTCTTGGAGCCCTCTTGGGGCCCCAAGAGCGCCTTGTAAAGTTTTACTTCTGCCCCTGGTGGTGACCTAGGGAACCCGCAGGGCCCCCAAGATGGCGGTCATCGCGTCTTTCACTTACATGTCCCGGTCAGTGCACCAGGAGGGGATTGTAGCAAAAACGGTCCGTCGTGAGTCCTGAGTGGAGGCCGTTGTGCATCTTACATGCATAACCCCATCAGTGCCCCATGAGGTGATTGTAGCGAAAACGGTCCGTCGTGAGTCTTGGGTGGCGGCCATCGCGTATTTCGCTTACATGTCCCGGTCAGTGCACCAGGAGGGGATTGTAGCAAAAACGGTCCGTCGTGAGTCCTGGGTGGAGGCTGTTGTGTATCTTACATACGTTACCCCATCAGTGCCCCAGGAGGTGATTGTAGCGAAAACGGTCCGTCGTGAGTCTTGGATGGCGGCCATCGCGTATTTCTCACACATGTCCCGGTCAGTGCACCAGGAGGGGATTGTAGCAAAAACGGTGCGTCGTGAGTCCTGGGTGGAAGCTTTTGTGCATCTTACATACATAGCCCCATCACTGCCCCAGGAGGTGATTGTAGCAAAAACGGTCCGTCGTGAGTATTGGATGGCGGCCATCGCGCTTTTCAAGTACATGTCCCGGTCAGTGCACCAGGAGGGGATTGTAGCAAAAACGGTGCGTCGTGAGTCCTGGGTGGAGGCCGTTGTGTGTCTTACACACATAACCCCATCAGTGCCCCAGGAGGTGATTGTAGCAAAAACGGTCCGTCGTGTTTCCTGGGTGGAGGCCATCGCGTGGCCCTTCTAATTCCACGGAGTCGCGGGGGCAGGAAGGGATTGTAGCAATTCGGTCCGCCGTGAACCCTGGGTGGAGGCCCTCGTTTGGCTCCCCTGCCCCCCTCCACCCTCCCGTGGCCATTGTGGCTCAAGCACACTCTGTGCGGATCTTCTTGTTTAGCTGGGCGTTTTGCCAACCATGGCGAAGGCGAAGAGCACGAAGGCCCAGAAGGCTGAGCAGAAGGCGGCAAAGGCCGCGCAGCAGAAAAAACGGCAGGCGAAAAAGGCTGCCAACCTGCCTCTCATGGAGACCGTGGACGACGACGACTCGCCCGAGAAGCGCGCGCGAGCGGAGCGGGCCCGGAGTGAGCAGGACAAGTTTAACAAGTGCATCAATGACAATTTCGAGGGTTGGACCGAAGAAGACCTCACGATGGTTTTCGTTGACGGCCTCAACGTGATCCAGAAGGTCAAAGCCGACAAGGAGGCGAAAAAGGCTGGGGAAGCCATTGCCTTCGGGAAGAAGTATTTCGCGGATGTCCGGGAGAAGTGGCAGAACCCCAACGGTTCGCTCGCGCAGTTGGAGCCCGATGACGACACCCTCGCGATCGACGTGCAACTTGAGCAGGCCCTGACGAATCTCATCAAGTCCAAGAAGGACGCGGCTGAATGGTTCCGGTGGTGCGAAGAGGTGCAGGAAGTCGACGACCTCAACTTCTGCGCTTGCTTCCGGCAGTGCTTGAAGTGGCCCGCGTTCCGGAGCCTTGAGAACGCGTCCATATCCATCGCTGCTTTCCGCATGGCGAAGCGGCTGGGGCTGGACAAAAAGCTCGTACGTAAGTGGCCTTTACTCTTGACGCAGTTGGACCGCGCGGCCCACAGGCAGCTGCTGTCCTACAAAAGCCAGGGCAAGACGAACAATTTCTGGTGGCAGTGCAACAAGGACTGGGCGGACCTGCTGTTGCCAGAGGCCGAGACGAGCAAGGCGATGGAGGAGAAGAAGGCCTGGAGCAACGTGAAGGAGGAGATGATGAAGGTGGCTGACTCGTGCGAGACTGGCAGCGTCTTGTTCGCGAAGCCGCTGCGCCAGCTGGAGGTGGACCGCGGCGCCGTGTTCGTCGCGACCCACGTCGAGCATCTGGCCGGCGAGAAGGCCCGGAGACAGACAAGCATAACGCGTCATTTCTCTGCGTCCAGTCACCATCGCCATCAAAGAGCCTCAGGCGATGGCGGCGGCGGCGGTGGCGTCTGCAGTGCTCGTTGCCTTGGCGGCCGCGTCGCTGCTGCCAGCGTCGGCGATGGTGACTGGGGCGCGTGTCCAATGGCGCGCGTGCACGCGTGTGTCTCCGGGAGGCGATCAACGCCGCGGCGCTCAACAAGCACAAGAGGGAGTTCGAGGCTGCCTGCAAGAGCGCCGGCATCGATGTGTCGAAGCCGTTCACCAGGCCCAAGCTCGTCGATGTCACGTACCGTTCCAGGAGGCTGCAGGTGCAGGCGGGCTCAACCATGGACCATTTCCGGATGGCGCAGGAAGCTCTCATCAGGACCATCGCCGTCGACAACGACCTCATCCCTTCCGTGTGGTGCGAGAATGAGCTCGTGGGGCAGAGGGCCAAGACCGGTCATACGATCGTCCAGAGCGTGTTGGGGACGCCCAAGAACTCGCGCAAGGCCCTGGACGAGTTCGTTAACCCAGACGAGCTGTCTGCAGCAACCATCACAAAGTGCTTGAAGGCGAAATCAACGTTCCTGAAGTCCCTGGATCGCTTCATCTCCATCGATATTGCTTTCTGGTGGAGCTGCGTCGGCGAATCCGCGAAGGATGCCGTGGAGGAGGCGATTCTGGAGTGCTTGCCCCGCGAGGGCGCCAGGCCCACCATCGACCAGAGCATCGCCAATCTCAAGCGGCTGGCCGACAGCAAGTTGGGGTCGTTCATGGGAACCGGCTTGCAGACCTTCCTGCAGGCCGTGACGGGCTGGGTCAAGAGCTTGAAGATGAACTCGCCGCCGAAGATCGACCAGGTGCCATCCACGACCTTCACGGCGAAGGTCGAGGACGCCCTCGCCCAGTGGTACGAAGCGAAGCCCTCTGGCGGCGGTGCCGTCAGCGAGCCGAAGAGAGGAAAGGCGGCTGCCCGCGAGGTCTGGTCGGAGCTCAGCGAGAAGAATGCCAAGGAGGAGGCCATCCCATACGATGCCGTCTCCCCTTTCAAGGGCTTCTCTTTCCTCCTGGAGCCGGCGGAGCGCTCCAAGGTGAAGCCGCTCTTGGACAAGGCCGGCGCTGCCGGCGGCCACGCCGCTATCGCCGCCGCCCCCGGTGGCCCGGAGGGCAAGAAAAAAAGGAAACACGTGGAGGCGCATGACGTCACCGGGGAGGTGGCGGCGCTGTTCAAGAAGAGCAAATGATTCCACTGTCGGGCTGAGTGCTGGCGCCGTCGGGCGCCCGAGGCCCTAGCGCACGCGTGCGCGACCCGCCTGCTGTGCGCCGCGCTCCTCTGTTGCCGAAGTCTGGTTTTCGGGGCCCTCCGCCCAGCCTTCGCTTTTCCCGCCCGGGGCGTACTGTGGAATTGCACAGTGCGATTTGTTACACCTCCCTTGGAGGGCCTTCGGCCGGCGGCAGTTGCATATCTAGACCGGTGCACTGGCATGACCACGTCGATAAGCAATTCTGCGAGGGGGATCGCGCAGTTGGAGAAGAAAGGCACGGGCGGTTGGCCAATCCGTATTGGCTCAAATCCAGACCCAAACGTTCCCCACTTTTTCCCCCTCCTCCTTTTCCCTACCCCCTCCTCCCTTTGCTTCCCCGCCTTCCTGGTGATCGCCCTCCCCGGTCCCTCATCCTCCTATTCAGTCATCCTTTTCGCCTCTCCTATGTTTCCCCACTCCTCCGACTATTATGACTATGGCGGCCCATGGCGCACATGTCCAACAGTTGACCGGAGCAGAGCGCAGCAATTGGCACATGCACGATTTGTCGTGCACCGTGCAGTCTCCGATTCGTCCTCGTGCGTTCCATGACTCCAGGCCGGCCCAAAGGATGGACGCCGTGGTAGCTGGTGCATTTTCGGCAGAGCGGGCATGCAGGACTGGGCCGGAGTGTGGAGCGCATTGAGTTGCGAACGCCCCCCTCGGTTTCATCGCCATTCCCGCCTCCCCCGCTCCGTCCTCATCATATGCCCCGTTCCTCCTTCAGGCTCCTCCTCGCCTCTTCGTTTGCCTCCTCCCCATCTGCCTCCTTTTTTTTGTCGCGGCCATGGCAAAATGCCAGCCACTGGCCAGCGCAGGCGCGGGCAGCGTTGTCGAAGCCCGCGTAACCAGGGCCGGGCATGCGATACCTCCCAGGCCCGCCGCTGCAATATTGCTGAACAGACAGTGGAATTTGATGGCGCGGGCGAGCGCATAGGGCAAAAAATAACACCTACAGCCCCAACACGAGGTTGGCAAAATGTCCCTCCCAATTCTTGCAAATGCGTGGGGGGAGTCAGCAGTTCCGTGTCACAGAAGATCACGGTGGCGACCTAAACGGTCGCCGCTCGGTGGGTCGTCAACCGTTCTCTGGAGAGATAGATGATAGCGCGCTGTATGCTTATCTGGGCAATGAACGCGTCACGTGTTGGTGCATTGGCACCGCGTTGCATTCAGATGCGCGTCGCGACACCGCGTGCCATCGGCAGCTTCCCAAAAGTTGTTGCTGCCGCGCCTCTATAAGCTTCCGAGGGCAAGTGCCCAAAGGCCATCGACCACGCCTGTGCACGCGCCATGGCGCCAGCCCGCTACATAAGCGACAAGCGCGCTCGTTCGCTTTTCACCAAAATGGCCATGCGTTTGCGGAAGCGACTCCTCTCAGGGCCATCGTGATGTGACTCGCTGTTGCCTTCCCCCCCCCCCCCCCCTCCACCTCGCATCCCCCTTCAATCTCAAGCTCAGAGGCGCGTGGCCTCAACCTGATCGCGCGGCAATGCTGTCATTGCCACGGAGGCAAGAGCTTCTGCAAACTCCACGGGGTACGCCGACGAACTCTTCTGGCGGGCCCCGTTCTTGACAGTCCCTGACACCCAGCCTTTCTTAGACCAGCCGTAAAAATTATCCTGCCCCTTCTGAGCAGTGGCTTTCTTGCCCTTGGAAACCTCACGGGCAGCGGCTGCTTTCTTGCTACTTGGAACTTTATGGGCCAGGCGGGTTTTCTTGCCAGAGCTCTTGCGGGGAATGGGCTTACAGAGCTCTTTGTAGTTCGGGCCGAGACGCTGAAAAGCAAGCTGCCTGGCTCGCACAAGCGAGAGAAATTGAGACGGAAAAAATGTGCACCATACCTCAATCGGTTTCACGGTGGCCGCGCCGAAGGCCCCGAGGTTGGTGACGAACTTCCGAGCGTTCACCAGGTCAAACGCCTGAATGATCTCCGCGGTGCGGTAGATGGTTGAGTTCAGGGGCTGCTCAACGAACGTCCGCACGGAACGCATGCTGCAGAATGTGAGCATGACCGACCTGGGGGCATTTTGTTCTTTCCAATCCCTCTTCATCCTCTTGTTCCTCCTCCTCCTCCTCCTGCTTCTCTTCAGCCACAACCTCTTTCTCCTCCTCATCCTGCTCGTCTTCCTCCTCCTCCCTTTTCCTCCTCCTCGTCCTCCTCCTTCTCCCCCTCCCCCTCCTCCTCCTCATCCTCCTCCTCCTCGTCCTCGTCCTCCTCAGTCACCCGCCCCCCCCTCCCGCCCTTCCAGCCGCGCTTCCGTCGCTCCTGGGTCAAGGTCTCCCCCCTCTTCAAAGCTCGATGGCCTCGGGCTGTCTGATCCTCGCGAGAGCTGCTCCACTGGTTGCCTCGGGGAATCCCTGGGGCCCCCTTGGAGCTGGGGGCGCGGGCGGGGGTGGGGGGGGGCACCTTAACCCAGGGGCGTCCTCAGTGACCCAGGGCATCCAAGAAGGAGCAGATGGGGAGGAGGAAGAGGAGGAGGATGAGGAGGGGTAATGAGGAGGAGCAGGAGGAGGGGACGCTGAGAAGGGCGAGGAGGAGGAGGAGGATGATGAGGAGGAGGAGGAGGAGGAGGAGGAGGAGGAGGAAGAGGAACACCAGGAAATGGAAGATGAGGGGCGAGGGGGACCCCACAGCAGAAGATCGGAGGTGGTGGCGTGGATCCCTCTCGCTCCAGCGCCATCGCATTGCATTTCCCTCCCCCGCGCTATCTGGTCCCCCTCTCGTTCGGCTATCTAATCCTGCCCCATCTGCACTGCCGTCATCATCACCCCTTTCGCCCAGCTGGTGTGTGTGTGTGTTGATTGTATTTGCAGGGGGTCCCAGGTTACAAGAAAACGCTGGTCCAGTTCGCTTCCTTGACGTCTGATCCGGCGTCGGTGCCGTAGGGGTCACGGTCGCTGCGCTTGGTATGCCCGCGAGCCATTGTTATCCAAGTTGAACATTGGGGCCCAAACCACGCCGTGCCTCCAGGACATATAGAGGCAAGGATCCACATCATATACAAGCAGCCAGTTAGATGAACCACGTTCTGCCACTCATGATCCAGCATGTCGCATGTAAAAACCCGATGGCCTCGAGCACGCACAGCGCGAGCACAGCGTGCCACGCCCGAGAATATCTCAGCGAACGCTGTGGTGCGAGGTATAGCGTGCTCAGCGGAAATAGCACTCACGATCTCACCCAGAAATTGCTGCTGGCCATCTACGAAACTGGCGGGCCCCCCTCGAGAGACGATCAACTTTGCCGTGGAAACTGCCCAGCTGTATCCCTCTGAACTCGGAGGCACAGGCTCGGGCCTGCCGCCGGCCGCCAAGGAAGCGCCAATGAGCTGGATGAGAATTACAAGAAACAATCGCCAGCCACAAGTGGGAGCCATGACCCTCTGGCCGCGAAGTCACCCCGCACAAGTTTAGACCTCAAATCGATGAGCCTGAAAAGTCTGCGGGGGAAGCTTACACGATGGCAAAATTGGGCTATCGATCGCAACACTGCGTTCAGCGACTCGTCCAAGAAACAATGGTAATGTTTCGGGGTGCCGTGCGAAGGGATCCTGGGGGCTCTGCGCAAACATCAACACTCTGTATTCTATGTTTTGTCGACTCCATGTTTTTCTCTTCCGTCATATCCTCATCCCCCTCCCCCCCATCCTCCTCCTCCTCCTCCTCCTCCTCCTCCTCCTCCTCCTCCTCCTCCTCTCCCTCTCCCTCTTCCCCCGCCCGCTGCCCTGGGGAGGTCCCGATCGAGAACTTCGATGCGAATCCTGCCATCCGAAGAGGCTGGCGTCATCTTCCGCCCCCCCACCCCCTCGCTCCTGTGCAGCATGTGAGCAAGTAGATGATGTTTGGGGGTCAGTGCAATACCCGCGGCAACTGTGGAGAGCAAGTGCGTGTCCAAGGCAGTCATGATGTCGCGCATCGTATGCGGGGGCGGGATGATATCGCTTTCCTTGAGCTTGTTAACAATCGTTTCCAATGAAGCACCACATCCCAGAATTGCATCCCCAAAGACGGCCGCGCCACCATATCTGATTAGTTCCGACGTAGCAAGCGTAAGTAGAGTGGAAGCTTCTGCCGCTTTGAGGTTCATGTGACCTCCTGGATGAAGACCATTCTGGAGCGTTGTTTCTAAGTGTACGGGGGGGGGGGGGGCGGAGAGGATGAAACCTCATGCTTTGCATCGCGTCTGACGCTAGAATCCCACGAGCATCCGGATCCTGCCCAGCACAAAACGGAGGCCTGTGAGACACAAGCGAATGGGCAAGACGAGGGAGGGAAAAGGGAGGAAGAAAGACGGCAGGGGCGAGGTGCAGAGGACGGAAGGAGCCCGAGCGGCGCTCTCGCCCAGCTCCAGCGAGGAGGCGCATTCAGCGTGCCAACGTGTCCCCCGATCGGGACCTCGCGGATTCGTTCGACCCACGGCCGCCTCCATGGCGCGCAGGGGCGGGGCTCGTGCATTGGTGCACCAGGAGGAAGAGGGGTAGTGGGAGGAGGGGATCAGGATGTCAGGGGGGAGGGTGGGGGAGAGGGGGGAGGGAAGCGAGGGCGACGACGACGACGGAATGAAGGGGCGGGGCCATGGAGAGCGACGACGACGACGACGACGACGACGACCACACGTGCAATGCATGCGAGTGCATCGAAAGACCACGCGTGATCGCATTCGATTCCATGATCTGGGACAAGGCATGATGTGTCATCTTGTGCTGCAGAATGCGGTCACCACTGGACGTCAATATACGCAAGCGCACAATTATAGTACCAGGTGCGCGCGTGATCCTCCCGTTCAAGCCTCCTCCTCACCTCATCCCCCCCCCCATCCAGGCCCCCTCCATCCTCCACCCCTTCATCCTCGATCCCTCCGAAGACTGTCTCAAAAAACAATGTCCTGAAGATTGCAGCCTTTTCGCTTGCCCATCATCTTGAGGGTAATAGTGTTGACCCTGCGATTCAAGGGGATACTGCGACGATCTTGCCATGCTTCCAGATCTCCCCGAAGCCAATTGATGCCGTTCTCCAGCACGCTATCCAAGTCGCCCTGCGCCCGCCACGGGTTCGCGAGCAGCACTCGCCAGAGCGCCGCCGAAATGTACCGGATGAGGGGCCCCAAAAAAAGCGTGTGGAGAGCGTCCACCGCGAGGGTGCGGTGCGGAGAAGTGCCGAGCTCCTCGGAGAACAATGGGCACCTGTGATTCAGCGAGTCAATCACCTTGCCGTCCCTATCTCCGCGCCG